TTATGTCCATAAATGGGATTTTATTTAATCAAATTCGAAATATCAACTTTATGCTGCAATTTCCGGCTGTACCAGTAAGTTTTGAACTCTTTAGAAGTAAAATTTGCAAAATAGTTATATATTCTAAGGCTATAACTATGGAACTTCCTATTGTCTTAAGAGAAAATTCAAATGGTGTTTATACAATATCAACATATTTTTTGGGAAAAAATATTGCTGAGGTTAGTTTTTTTCGTCTTGCAAAAGATTTTGTAAGTAAGAAGGAAAGAATATGTGAAATTCAGCTTCCACAGTATATTATCCTACCAGCTATCTATAATGCAATCGTCTATTGGATGGCTGGTAAGTTTAAAAACACAAATTTACTGACAGTAATATTAGTGATCACTTTTAGGTCTCGTACCAGATGTCGGGACATTTATATTCGCAACTTTCATCTGTGCACTGATTGCCAATGTGGCTATTTCAGTCTGTACGGGTTTAAATTAAGGACTCATTTGTTACCCACAGAGAGTTTTTATCATAATTTATCATTCATTATCAAAATGATTTCCAGCCTATGCAACTGCAACCATTTTTGGCTCAACAGATGTCGCTATGACATATCTTCCAATTTTTGTTGTTCCAATGCTAGCATTTGGAGGATATTTCATCACTTACGATGCTATACCTGGTTACTTCAAATGGCTTTCTAGTCTATCATACTTCAAGTAGGATTTCTTCATAAATTTAACAAATTTAAATGAATTTAAGGAAAAAAAAAACTTGATTGAAACTTGCTGCTTTAGATATAGCTACGAAGCGCTCGCCATTAACGAATGGGAGATGATTGATGTAATTCCAGGTAATAGTAAGATTAGTCAGTAAATGGTAATTTGTAAATTCACATTACCTTACACTATCTCGAGTAAAATTTTGAAAAAGTAGATTCAAAGGTGAAAGGAATAGCACTTTGAATTCGTAATTAAGACATTCCCAAAATAACAAAGCAGAAAAAATTTATTTCATTACCACAAATGACTGTGCTTGCAAAAACACACCTTGA